TGCCATATTTTTTTGGACTGAAGCTCCTTGCTATGAGAAATTTGGCCATGCTTCTCCCAAAGAAGTGACTGAGTTCTTACCAAACATTTGGTCTTTGTCTTGGTTTCTGTTTATTTTGCTGTACAAACATATCAGTACTATGTTATCTACAGCAGTGCTAGCCTGCTTGGTACTGAACACATCGCAAAAGGAATATCATCCCAGTTGGTTCTAAAAGCCAAACAATGTAGGTGCAGACAGCACTGCAATGTTTCTTTTTTTTTCTTACGTACCAGATGTCCCTAAACAAGACATTCATTCACCTTAAGATTTTTCCGGTCAGGGCTAAATCTTGACTACAGTTTTAACCTTCTCACAACTGCTGCTAGTTTTTGGCTGCTCAGCCTAAAGCTGCTGCCAATTCAGCAGCAGCTGTGAAAGGGTTAAAACTAACTGGGAGTGAAGACTGCACTTCCCTCCCTCCCCCTGCGAGGCTTGCAGAAGAGCAGAAGCCCAGCAGCCATTATAGCATCCCTATGCTTTAATTCCAGTGCAGAAATCAGTTTCTCCGCTTAAAACACATACCCAGCTTTGGAGGACTGAGTTTTGGGGGGAAGGTGCAAGTTATATGTGAGTAAATGAAAAAATGTATTTGGCAGTAGTGGGCTATGCTGTAGGAGAGCTGGCATCCTGAGTAGCTTGGCTTAGGTTTAGCAGAGCTGGTAGGTAAAATGTTCATTACTTTTTAAAACAATTTCTACCCATTCACTCCTTTTTCCAAAAAAAAATTGTTTTTCAAAGGTGAACCAGTTTCCACCAGCTTTTGATTTGTTTGAAAACTGGGAAATAGTGTGTCGAAACATTTTAATTTGCCTCTTCAAATTCCACAAATGTCAAAAATTAAAAAAATGCAGACAGTGCTGATACTAAGACCACCTGAGGGATTTCTGAGAGAGATATGAACAAATGACTTGGAGGCATTAGGCTCTGTCCAACTCTATTCCCCCCTAGCACATTGCTTTTCTCATTAAGTCTCCCATCTTTCTTGGTGCCAAATATTTCCTGCAAACTGCAAAGCATATTCTGAAGTCCAGTTCAGGGGATGCAGCATTATGAAGCACCCCAAAGCTCTTCATTAGCTAATTATGTCCTGTTTCCAGAAAATTAATGGAGCTTAAGTCAAACACTGAAATTCTGCCCATACCTATGTGCAGCAGTCTGTTACTTGTAGTAATCTGAGCTGGTTTCATGCAGAACCTTTCAGGATCAAGTCCTGCAGCTCCCATTACCTTAATAGCTGATTGAGGGGTCAGCCCTTCTGAGTCCAGTCTGAGCAGAGAGCGATGTTGACACCATTTTTCTTTCTATATCTAGATTCTTCTGCTTGAGGCTGCAGAGAGAAACCCAGCTCTGGAGAACGACCTGCCAATCCCTAGGCCAACAGGCAGATGGTATGATGGTTTGCTACCAGATGCCATTCCCCTGCTAAACCCTGGGACTGTGTTAAGGAAGACAGTGGGATCAGCTGGTAAGACAACCTCTACTCTGACTGCATGCATTAGTGCCCTGATACCTAGTACAAATCCAAATCTGAGCTCTATATGGTGATCAATAAATAGGCTGCTTCTGTACAACTTGGTCTCCAATAGTGCACTTGGCTTTGATACAGTCCACAACCAGGAGTGAAATCTTTCCAGTTCTTTCCTTCTAATATAAAGGCAACAAATAGTATAGGGGTAGATTGTCAGATGGGCAGATTCCCTCTTGTGGGTCCAAGACATATATACTCCTTTTCCTTCAGGGAGTTGCAAATAGTAAGTCCTGGCTCTTGTGCTTTAGGTTACTTTGTGGCAGGTGCAAAGTAGACGGTCATTGGCACAGGTGCTGAATCTGCATCTGCAGTTGGCTTTGCACTTGCAGTACGGAAATCTGAGCTTCAGCTAAGCTGAGAATATTCGCTATGAAGGGGAAATACACATGGCAGGACGTGTTTTCATAACTAACAGTTATGTGAGTTACACGTCGCCATGCTTTAGTCTACACATTGCCGTTTTGGAAGTACTAAAGCACGGCAGCACAGCACTGTAATTGCCCAAACTGCTATATTGCTGTAGCAGTGCACCAAAATGGGGGAGCGCATCGCTATGGCAATGTAGCTGCCGATCATGTGTAGACCCATGTGATTGCTATGTCGTTGTAGCGCACTGCCTGGCAATGTAGCACGTCACTATGTCGCCTTTCTACAGGTGGTACCTGTAGGAGCCACTCTTCCTGAATGTTGGGGCTATTCAGATCTGGGGTTTCCATTATAGACACCAGAGCTGTCTGAGATATTTGGACCTTGATCTTCCCCCCAGTTGAGGCTGAGTGAGAAGGTTGCTCTGTGACCAATTCTGCTAAATTGCAAACACAGATGTGTTCATACACTGATGCACCATAGGCTCAAGTGCAAATTCATGTGCAAGTATGGGATCTGTATGTACGGTTTAGACAGCCTGTTTGTTCAGTATGGCTTGGTAGGCTTCATTGTTCCTTCTCTCTGGAAGAACAAAGCTGAGATGTAGATGAACTAGAAGTAAAACAAATTTGTTCTTATGTTTTTATGGAATGATCTGGGATTATCTCATCTGAAAGTGACTCTTAGACAGGGGAAACTGGATGTGCCTTCCTCAAAGCCCATTACTGACACTCATACCACAGTGAGAATTGTCCCTAAGTGAAGTAAGGAGCTCTTCCTTTCTTGCTGTTACCTTTCCTTGGGATAAACTGTAGTAGAAGCAGCTGCATTCTGGGAAGGGAGTGGCCAAATTCAAGAGGGGGGAAAAAGAGGTCCATTTTGCCAGGCTCTTGATGGTCTCTCATTAAGATCTTACTTTCTTTTGGCGCAAGAGTTTCCTAAGGGCTGAATCCTGATATCGCTGAGGCTAAATTCCATTACCATCAGTAGAACTCGCATGCTGTCCTGTGTCTTGTAAATGTTCATATACTGTGGATGTTGATTTTCAGGCTTGGATAGACTGAAGCATTCCTGAAGAAATACAGAGACCCAAGGGGACCACAGATGGGACAGTTAACGCACACCTCACATGCTCAGAATGTAGCACTCTCCTGGGGATGAGCAGCGCAAGGGGGTGTCTTGGTTGTATTTAGCCGGATGGTTTTTCTGTTGACAACAGATCAGTTGCACTAAGCATGATACCTTTTTAAATTTCCCATAAACAGAATGGGCTGTTTTATGATCCCTCTTGTGGCATGAAAAGAAATATGCTTAAAACAAACCTCCAGCTCAGTTGTCTTGGCCAGACAGATCACCAGGCATTGAATTTCTTTGACCTTGGCATTCGCCATCCTTGTTTCAGGATCTTCACTCTCTGTTTCCAAGGCACTGTCTATCAGTTACTTTCCCTGCTCCCAGGGTTCTTCTTTATCCTCCATGGGACCTAATCCTTTTTTTTTTTTAAGAACAGTTTATGGCAGCTCTTCAGCTTTTCATGACTGCAGCCGACATGGAGCATGGCTACAGCCAACACAGACCAGATGTCATAATTTGACAGGATACCACAATATGGGGGGAGGTTCTTTAATACTGCAAAGTATTTTCAGAACTGCAGCTACAGCTGCTAATAACTGAATTACAGTAGCTTTTCCCCTCATGTCCATTATAAGATTATTCCATGTTTTCCATGTCATTTATTTTTGCTTTTGGGGTCTCTCTGCACCTGCACCTGATCCCACTGCTCAGTCCCAGAGGAGACCTGAAGACCTCCAGTCACCCCATTTAAACTCCTTTATTCCTCAGGACTCCATGTAGGCAATAATCTTCCCTTGTGTTCAAAGTGCAAAGGGAATTTTCTTTCCTTGTAAGTCATTGCCACTGTTGTTCAAACACTGGCTCCCAGTGAAGCAGGCCTAGACAGAATCTGTCACCCAGTCGCATCCAGATTTTAGGGACATTTGAAAGCCGCACTTAAAAAAACCAAACCTGAACTTTATATTGTGTGGAAGGTGGGATCCTCATACCCCAGAGTGAATTATCACCTTAGGCAGTGGTTCCTAGATGCTTTTAACCAACAGACCTTTGCAAAATTCTCACAGGACAGCACACAATGTTATTATTGAACCTTTCATTGAAAATGGCGGGGAAAATTCAGTATGCCAAGCACTGCTGATCTGTGGACCACTGTATGAAAAACTGTAGTCTAAGCTGTGCCTGAGATCTTGTGTCCCAGGAATAAGAATCACAGTGTTTCTGGAGAATCTCGTTCAGCTATATTATAGCCCTGAATCTTTGCTACCATTATTGTCGCTTCAATCCATTTGGTCTAGTATGAGTTGTGCACTGCAGATCTTGTGTAATCAGTGGAAACCTGAGGTGCACCACGCTATTTGAAGTCAAGTTAAAATATTTCTGCCATCTACAATAGTTGACCGGATCATTAATATATTATGGGCAAATGACATGTGTTATTGGGGGGGGGGTTCCTAGAGCTATGCAAATTCAATTGCCTTTATTTGCTAGGAATGTGTCTTGAGTTTTGATCCACATTGGCCCCCCAAATTCAGTTTGTATTTACAGTTCAGAGGGAGCCAAAAACTCAAGGCAAATTTGGTCAAAACTCAGTGAACTTCACACAGTCTCAGGCTGGAACCTTAGGAAATAACCAACAGCACACGGCTTCACCATAGGACTGTAATTTACTGCTCAAAATTCCCTTAAGAAGCTTATGAACCTCAGTAAATATTTCAATGAATATGATCTTAGATTAAATGGAAGCCAAAAAATGTTTTTTTGTGGTTTGGGGCTTAATCGGAAAATGTTTGCACATCTCTCTCCCTCTCCCTCCCTTCCACATTAGATTTCTGTGGCCAATAATCACTGTATTGTCTCAGGTTTTTTATGTTTTTTTGAGTTAAAATGTATCCAAGCCAATCCCTGCGCTTTTACCAACTCCTAGAGCTGACAGATAGACAAAGAGCAGAACGCTACCACAAAGAGTCAATATGGTTGGTTTGAGCTAGATGCTTGGGACGGTGGGAATGTTTAAGAACGACCTTTTAGCTTTGAGTTGGCTGAGGTCTTTCCAGGCAAAGATCCAGGAAAACTTGCTACTGTTTACTAGGGTTGCCATTTCTTCCCTGACTGACAAGGCTGAGAATAGACAATAATTTAAAAAGCAATCAGAGCTGTTGAGACAGCTGTGCTGCTGGCTTCCTGGCCTTTCTGATCAGCTTGTTAATCAACAGGGAGACTTTTTACTGAGTATTAAAAAAAATAGCAATCAGACCAAAACAGTTGGCAATGGGAGAAGTATTTTTCACATACATTTTCCCCCTACACTTTTAATTAGAACCCAAAGGAGACCAAGGTGTTGAGGAGCAGCTGATACCACAGGGTAACTGACTGATGTTGGGATTTTTTTTCCTTCTTTCAAAGCACAACATGCTGCTGTGATCTTTCCTGTATGGTGCTTCCTGAAATATAGTATAATTAAAAATTTTCAGCCTGACATGGAAGGAGCAGCCTGTAATTCTACAGTTAAGGATCCATAGTAATCTAGTGCCCTGCAGGTGCTGAAACAGATTGATCTCTTCCTCGGTTTTTCCAACCCTTCTATTGTTGGCACTGTATTTCACTCCACAGGGACAAAGATCATCGGTCCTCATAGCCAGATCCTGGGGAATTTAGAATACCAGCTGCTCAAGCCAAGGATAAAATTGCTACTCCAGTGGGAGGTGGGAGATAGTTAGAGATGCTGCTGGGTCTAGTAGACGTGTAATTATTTGCATTACAAACACCCCACCTAGGTCCTAACTGTAGAGGTCTCAACTGTGATTACACCAGGCTCATCATATTAGGCTCTGGACAAAGACCCCTAAAGAACCTCTCCCCAAAGACCTTCCAGTCTAATTATACAAGATAGAACTAGGCTAGAAAGGAAAACAGGCATAGAGAAGTGGCATGACTTGACAAAAGCCACATGATGAAGCGTTGGCAGAGCCAGTAATAGAATTCAGTTGTCTTTAGTGCAAATCTGGTGCATGAGCCATTAGGCCACTCAGCCACCTTTTTTCTTTCCCTTCCCCTGTGACTCTCACTTCCCAAAAATAAGAGACAGTAGACCAAATTCTCAGTTGATGTAACTCAGCATCTCTCAGTTGACTTCAATACTGTGAAAGACACCAGTAGAGCAATAACTGATTTACACCAGCTCAGCATCAGGTTTTTCCTGAATTTGTTTCTTCCTTCCTCCCCCTTTTTTCTTTGTATTTGTCTCTCTTGATCTGGTAACACCATTTGTCAGCAGCTTGAGCATTTGTCTGACACACTGCTCCCTGCTGCAGCTTGAAGTTCTTCCGTTAGCACTTTCTACCTGCAGGGAAATAAGTGCCATCTTCTTTAAATCTCTGCTGTAATGGCATGATTGAGGATGCTGGCAGCAAATGATTGCTCTTGGTCTGCACAAGTTAACAGGATTGAATTATAAAGGGTGAACTTGATTGAAGCTGTTTTATATGACCAAGGGGCACATTTTGACCCAAGTTCAACAGCTCAGCATGTGGTGCCTGAAGACTGTCAATATTTCTTTTCTTCCTTCCTTTGTGCAGGAAGGGATTCTCAGCAATGAAGATTTTGCATTTCTTTCTGCATGGGTTCACAGTTATTCACAGTCCTCAACATGGTTGGCCTTCTCTTACAGAGACTATTGTCCACCTGCCTGAGTTTGCTAAATGCATCATCTGAGGGTGTTAAAAGTGTTCCATTCCCAATCCATGATATAAGAAAGCCTTAGCTTTTTCATTCAGTACATTAACAAACTGGCTTCAATCAAATGTAAAAGCCACCCCAAATCTTTGTTCAGTGTAATCAAACTGAACCGAACCTTGTTTGATGGTATAAAATATTCAAATTAAAAAGTAACAAAATCTGAATTCAACTCCCACCACTCTGAACTTCCTGGTTCTAGCTGGCAATCAGAATGGAAATGCCAAAATACCAGGAGAAAAGATGCCTTTTTTCACTCTTCCTAGATTGATTGAAAGAGAGAAGGGTGGTGGGAGGGAGTCTTTCAGAAAGCTTGATGTCTTGAGACTAACAGCTCCAAGAGCTGCAGGTAATTTGGGTGTGCATGTGGAGGCCTAGTCAGGCAGTACGGTATCCTCAGGATGGGAACTGGGTCTGTCTATTGAAGACAGGCAAGTGAGGGTTCAGTCTGAACCTCCTGGAGCTGCTAGTCTCATGAGATCAGGTTGTATTGTAGGTTGCCCATTCCAGTGGGCAGGGGCAATGAAACTGCTCCCTGGCCAGCCCATCCCACCCATCTCTTGAAGCAGTCACTTGGGAAAGAGCTCAGAGAGCCTGGTGCTTCTTCATACATAGTAGAGGGGAGGGAGAAAAAGGGAAATGACAGTTTCCAAGCTTATCAAGACAAAACCTGGTCTCTGTTCTGTTTATGAACATAAGCATTTTCATTTGCTTTGTTTACAACTAAAGATGGGCTGAAACCAAGACCCCACATCTGAACTCTCCAAATTGCGAATGCAGACAGGAAGTCCTATAGACTCTGTAGCTTTGGTTCATCTCTATTTTCAAGCAGTCTAAGCCTCTTGGTAGCACAGAGATAAAACTCAGAGATTCCTGGCTCTTCTAGCCCCAGAACTGATACTTATTTATCAAGTGCTCTCAAAGTTGGACACTTGCCTTCAGCAGGGTCAAAAACATGTACCCATCTCTCTATATTAAATAATGTCTGTTCAGTAGTTTAAATTTACCTGGCCAAAGCACTTATTACCTGAATAGATCAGCAGAGACATGGTGCTTAGTATAATGTTGTACAAGGGCTAAGGGTTATTATTCTGGAAGTGCAGAGGAAACAGCAGAACTGTTGAAGTATTAAACCTTTACTTTATTTATTGCCTACAGTAAGAGCTTCCTTCTGGATTACATATAAACTACAGGCTGCTCTGCTCACCTTCTGTCTGCTGATGCAGGGCTTTGGAGGAATTGCTTTGTAACTCACTGGAGTTATTGCATTACTTCCATGATCTCTTTCTGCTCTTCCCCCTGCTCAGTGATACAAATTGATATATCTAACTGCCATGCATGCCTGACTGGATGTGGTTCAATCAGGCATGTTCCTTGCCATGGGAGATGTTGTGTTAAATGGGACGTGCTTTAAATGTTTGAAACCCAGTGAACAGATGAGGTAGACAACCCCCTTGTATAAGAAACTATCTCCTAGTGGTATATCCCTCCTATCACATGTGATTCAGTATTTTACTTGCTTTTATACTGGTACCAGTCTGGATTCTTTCACATCTTTTGCTGTAGTAAGTTTCTATGGGGAAAAATCTGTCTGGATTAAGCAGGTTAAGACCAGATCAAGGTTGTCGGCAAAATCCTGCCCTGTAGAAGCACTTGGTGGGAAGAGGGCCAGCTGCAGGGGTAGTTTTGCACTGGCCAGCACACCACAGCTGCAGTGGGTACCATTTGCTTATTATTACAGATGTTGATGCCAGCAGCAGGCTCTTGCCAGGGACTTGCTGCTTTTTTTCAGCCTGCACTATGAGCTACTCCAGATGACTGAGCCCACAGGCCCTATATTCTGGTAGGCTGTTGTCACTGATGTGTACCGACTACTGTCAGCCGCCCTAACCGATCAAGGCTGTATTTCCCCCCCTGGACCAAACTGTGATGGTATAAACATCTGCACTGTGTCCTCATTTCCCGTTTGAATGTTCGCAGGGGCACCTGGACAGATTGGGCCTCCAGGTCCAATTGGACCAGCTGGGCTTCCAGGACCACCAGGACCAAAGGGAGAAAGGGGACTGCCTGGTGAGAAGGGGCCCGCAGGACCACCAGGTGAGTCTTGGATGGGAACGCTCCCCACCTTGCTGGGGAGCTCTTGACACTAGCTAAATTGTTAGTGTGATCTCCACACAAATGGGTTAAATCAAAGGAGCTACTGGCCGTCTTTGGCTCCTACTGGTGAATCAGCTGAAGGCTCTCAGCTCCTAGCAGGATTGGGCCCAAGTTGGAAAATTTTAACGTTGATGTTCCCAGGCCACTTCTGTGGAGCTGAAATCAATTATTGGGGTTTCTTGTTTAACCCTTTAATCACTGTATCCCATTATCACTTCTCTGCAGGGAATGTGCATAGTATAAGGAGAAGAACTTTGCTTCTTGTGTTGGGTGCGTCAAACTTAGGGGGCAAGCAAACACCAAACAATGATGCTGTCATACCTGAAAGCAAAGGATTAAAAGTAGGACCCTTTTCTCACTGTACAGCCACTTCCTGAGCTCAGAGACTTCCCTTCCCCCCCAGAATGTTACTAAATCTTGTGAAAGAGATGATGCTACACAATAGCTGCCAGACAGCGGCCTCTGTGCTTCATAAATCTCCAGTCGAGGGAAGCATTTGAAACCTGGAGCATGCCTTAAACATGAGAGTGGCCTTGGAGACTTCCCGACATTTTCCGCAGTCCAGGGAATGGCTGAGGTCCAGTCTGGGATGTGTCCGCCTTCTCAAGTTCTCGGAGGCTGAAACAGGAGAAGCCTCTAGCCCCAAAGAAAGTAGTATGGATCTGCCCGTCAGATGATCAGGTTTTCTGTCTCTGCTTGAGGGGGTTGCTCACAGGAAGGCAAAGGCTTTGCCTTTTTCCAATGTCTTCTATTTGAGGATTTTTTTACATGCTTTACAGACACAAGGGTAATGCTCCCCTCTGCAGAGGAGCAACCTGAGGACTCTGCTTGACTCACACTGGCCCTTTGCACAGGCTGAATTTTACCCTTGGTGAATTAAACCTTATTATAGCTGTGAGCCAGGGAAACCTCATCAGCCCTGTTTTGCACGTGGGGAAACTGAGGCAATGAGGTTTGGCTCTCTTCCCTAAGCGTCTCCCTCTTTAGTTCATCAGAAGAATACTCCTTGCCAAAACTGTACAGGAAGAGGCCTTGCTGCAAAACCTTTTCAACTCCCTTCTATGCTACATGAGCACCAGGGAGTTATGTGGCCTTGTGTAAATTTGCTTTCTTCTTCCTGTTCCTGATACTGAGGCATCAGAGATTTCCCTACTGAAGAAAGGTATCTTTCCCAGCTAGTTCTTTCAGCTTGACTAGTGGGCATTAATAGGAGTTAAGACTGAAAACAGGACTCTGAAATGAAGATACCTGAGAAAGCTCATGACCTCTCATACAGCTCCTGTGCCTGGTCTGGGAATCTCTTAGGTTTAGATCCAGATTCATTTCTTTGCAGCTGCTTGGCAGACGTTGTATGGATTCTGCACCGGTGCAGGTGCTAGCACATCCCCCATGGCACTGAAAGCTTGTCTGCTGTTTCTTTTTAGGGCTCCTGGGGCCTCAAGGACCTAGAGGACTTCCTGGAGAAATAGGTATTCCAGGGCCACCAGGACCACCGGGGCCACCTGCCACCCCAGGCCTTCCCCTTACCTTCCAGCAAGGGGTTCTCTACTCACTGCAGCCCACAGCTGAAAAAGAAAGTAAGTTTCTACTGGTGAGTCCTTCCAAGTGCATCTGTAGGTAGTCTGTGCAGAGAGCTCACCTGATTTTTCTCTCCCTCCCTACCAACCTACTACTGTGTTCCTGCTTTCCTTGAGACATGACAGATGCATATGCTTCTTTAATGCCAGTTCATTCCTAGGTGTCTGCTGAAACAAGTTTGGGGGATGAAAGGAATTCAAATTGGCTCATTATCTCTAATGATGAACCTGACCTCTTTGCTCAGGTTGTTGCTTGTGTCTAGACTAAGCCCTGTAGCTTGTGAAACTGCTTTAAGAGATGAGATTTTTCTGCAATCTTGCTAATTTTAAACAGTTACCTATGCCTCATGAAAGCCTTTTTGCTGCATGTTGCCAGAAAGATGCTGAATCAACTTGTGAGGCTTACATAATGTCACATGTATCATAAATACACAGCTTTTGTGATGTGAGGTCAGGGGATAATGCTGTTGCACTGTCATAGGCCATATGACACCCGTCACAATGCCATGATGCTCGTGTGTGGCCCACCTATCTACCTCTCAGAGATGGCAGCCCTTTGAGGTCCTGTTCAGAGTGGGGTGGAGTTACAAAATGGACCTCAGCAGTTTGCTATAAGTTGGAATAATAAACTTCTTGAAATAGTACTGTCCCTGCCTGCTCTTTAAGGAATCCAACCCATTGCTCCTTGCCTTTTTTATCCATTCTAGTTATTTATCTTCTGGGTGGCTCTCCCTGCTGATCTTACTCTGTCCCCACTGCACCGGGATTGCCTTCTTCATCCAGAGAGTTGAGAGAAGAATTTTATGATGTCAAAATCAAGTTGTTGGCCTTTTCTCCTTCTGAATCAGAGGAGGAAAAAAATTCTTGTGTGAATAATAATACTTTGGGAAACTTTTGCTCTAAAAAAGCCCTGGGATTGCAGTGCAATACCACAGAGGTAACAGAGCAGGAATCAAGCCACAGTTGACAGGTCAGAACTTGATAGAAATAGACTTAAAACAGAAGTTTTCAATACACATGAAGTTTTTAATCACTCTCTCCACCTGGCAGGCAAAGTCTTTGGGTAGAAGTAATATCTTTTATTAAACCAACTAAATAGTTGCAAAAAAACTTGTTATTTGCAAGCTTTCAGATATATACGCCCTTAGGCAAGAAAAAAAAAAGAAGAAATTAAAAATGGTGTGAGATATAAAAGATGGTCAGAAATCTCCGCCTGCACACTTCTCTGTTAGCTTCCGTGTGTCTATTACAGAGCAAAGTCTTTCTGTGGCATTCATGTGCTACACAGCTATAAAGAGCCCAAAAGCCCGAAAAAAGAGGCTTTTGTTCACGTGATTGTGCATTTCTCTAGAGCCTTTCGTTCCAATGGGTCCCATAGCACTAAGGAAACTGCATAGACATAGAACCACGAAAATATGAAGCTGCTCTTGGAGGCAGTGATAAGCCAGCACACCAGAGTAGGGGGAGTGAATAAATGTTGGCCATTAACATGGGAGCAAACCTATATTTCTCTGAAAAGGGCTAGTACCTTTTAGTGTCCACAGAAAGCAGGACACACATCATGGAACAATTTGTCTATTTAGAAGAATAAGTGAGTTGACCTAATCTTTTCCAGGAGTCTAGAAGTTAAGATCTTAGCTGACTGAAAGTCTTGTCACTGCCTTTTTTTTTTTTTTGGTGCCGGGTTTGGCTCTGATATTTGGATCAGTAAGCAACAAGAATTACAGCAGGGTAATTTAAGAAACAGAAAACTGTAAAATCCCCTTTTTCCAACTTCCTCTGATCATAACGATCAATGCATTACTTTAGAACAATATGTGATTATAGTTGTGATAGCTAGGGTGACCATCATAGAGGACAGTCCAGTTGTCCTCTGTCCTCTATTGATACGAAACCCGATGCCTTTATGTCTTCTGTATTTCTCTTGAAGAGAAAAATAGAGGACATAAAGGCATCGGGTTTCATATCAATAGAGGACAGAGTAGCAGAAAACCAGAATGTCCTCTATGATGTCCCCTGGTGATAGCAGACCTTGAACAAAATAAATAGCATGGTATACTTCATCTGGTGTGGGCACAGGGTGTTCTGTAGACAATTTATTGCTATATCCTGACTTTTTTGTTGTAGGACCCTAGGGTTCTTTTTTCCCCTTCCACCACTCCCTGAGTCTCAGAATCCTACTTGATTCACCTCTACATTGGTTTTAATTGATGTGGTGGTTACTTCAGACTGTCTCCAGTTTTGCAACCACCTGAAAAGGTTCAGATGGGAAGTTTGGTGAAACAAGTGAGTCTTGTGCCATTTTGCTGATTCCTATCACATTAATATTCAGACTATATATTGGCTTGCTTTCTACAAACAGTATGTCATGGTGAAATTCATGACAGTGCATTTGCCTTGCAAGGTTATGGCCCATTGTGAAATCCTGGCACTGCTGAAGTCAAGAGAGAGCCAACAAATCTAGGTGAAATGCTAAAAAAGCACAGATAGGGAAGCTAAGCGTCTTGGCTTTTTGAGGTATATTTGATCCAGATCCTCTTAGTCTTATTTAATCTACACTAGATTTTTAAACAATGCCCATCTCCATAGCATCTAAACACTACGCAGTAATTCATCTCCAGCCTTTAGTTCTTTTTGTGATTAATATAAGACTCCCCATGATGAGTCTTATTGCAAGATTAAGATCATCTTCCTAAATAATTTACCCTTTTATTACTGCACTGGCTGACTTTGGTTACCCTGGGTTGGTGGAAAGCTGATCCTCCACAGCCAATAAAACCTGGCTCTGTAAACCCCAGCTAGGATTTTTTTTTTTAATGGAACACATCTGAAACCCATAAATGTAAGATCTCAGCTGCTGACAGCAGAGGGAAGCATATTCCTGCTAATGGGCCTGTGCACCCACATAGATGTGAAAAGGCTGCATCAGATTATTATTATTATTATTACCCAGTGTTCAGTTCCACTTGATCATGGTTAATGTCAGCATTTTATGAATCACAACAAGTTCCTGTTGGCAGAGATTATCAGCAGGCAGAAGCCAAAAATGGGGAGACAAATATTTTCTCACAGTTTCACTGTGCTGTGGTAAAGAAATTGGTCCCAGTTGTCTCTCTCCAGATCAGGTAGCAGAAAGAAATTAAGACAGGATTACTTCATTTCCATCCTGTCTCAGCAAATCAAGCCTTTAATGCAGAGAATTTATCCTAAACTCAGTACCATTATTCCTGGGTCAGTTTCTCAGTAATACCTGGTCCCATCATAATGTCTTCAGTTTTACCACCCACTTGCCTCTCGGGCACTTACAAATGAGTGGGGCAGGTATTTGGTCCAACACCCTAAAGATCTGAAGAGCTATGGAATAAAAGATGCTTTTTCAGAAAAAGAAAGGGGAAAATAGTAATAACTTGCTTTTACCACAGGGATTTACTGTCTAAGATTGCAAAGTAGTGTATAAAAGATGCAAAGAAGCATCGTCTCCACTTTACAGATGGGGAAACTGAGATGCAGTAAATGGGAGTGATTTGCGCTGTCAGGTCCGAGATGGGAACAAAACCAAAGATCCTGAGTCCTAGCCTAGTGCCTGAGTCATTGGCCTGTTTTGTCATTCCAAAATGAATGAAGAGAGAATTAAGAAGGCTCAGAGAAAAGGCCCGGTAGGGTAGGGATTGGGAAATAGAGGAATGCTTTCATTTAGAAAACTGTAGTGATTTGCTTTGAGAACTGCGTCCATCTGTGCATCAAGTATGTGCCTACAACACAGCATGCCTCTCAGGGGAGATTTCAGCCTAGTTTAAGTTTTTTTCCTTGGATCATGTGCAAATTCCTGCCCGGCTCTGCTTACATTAGCCAGGCTACCTTATTACAGCACTCTTCTGCTGGCCAGGAGTTTGGACAGCCCTGGAGCTGGGTCTTTTACATGGGAAAGGTGCTCACTTACACGCAGAGGAAGTTGTTAGCTTGCTACTTTCACGGATGCTCAGGCACATGCATGCAAAATGGAGCCTCTACTCCAAGCAAGGGACGGTGATATTGTGCAGGAGGTTTAGACAGGGTCAGGTGGAAGACAATGAACTCTCCAACCCTTTGCTGCTGGACAATGAATGCTGCTGAGTGACTGCTACTGCAGCTCCAAGCTGTGAATAAGTCCCTGGGTCTCATTTGACCCCAGATTATTTGCATGCGTGTATGGGGAAAGCAGAGATTCCAGATTTGCTTGTGCCTGATGGACATGCACTAGGTGGGCTGCAACTGGGGTCCTTGATGACCATAGAGTGGGGAGGGAGCATTTGGTGCATAGCAGGAAGCATTGTGCTCATTGTCTTCAGGCAGCCAATACTTTGGTGAGTGTGACATGACTGGACAGCTGACAGAGGAGTAACACTAAATGCCCATCTCTCTCTCTGCCGCCTCCCCCATATACTCACATACAAACATGCTAACCGCACAAAGCCCAAATAAAGAGCCAGTGAGCTCTAGGTCTCCCAAGCAGTTCATTTTTCACAGTGTGTCACAAATGCAGAAGCACCATTCTTAAATAACTTTGAGTTGAATTGATCTAATGTCTAGATGAACAGATCTGTGGGAGTAATTTGTTTGTCGTAACAATAAGATTCTGTTTAGCTGGAACATGCTACAACCCAAAGCCCCCCCTTCCTCCCCCCCTCACCCCCCACTAATTAAATCCCATTAGTTTGCAGTCCTGCTACCCCACTGGTATCTCCTAGGGGCACTCTCTCAGTTTTGTTGACTGCTTGTTCTTTTAAGAACCCAAACCCCCTGAAATTGTTAATGCCTTCAGTGCTATTCGATGTTCATTTTCTGATTCCATCTCACTACCAAGCCCTGATGGATTTTGACGTGGTCAAATAAAACTTGAATTAATTGGATTACACACTTCACTTGGATACCTTTCCCTCTGAACATGAAAGTGTTCTCAGCTGTTTTGTTTCATGGCTGCAAAGAAGGGAAGATGGCTACAGTAAAAATTGATGGCCGTGGACAGTTACCTATTTGATTTGGTCCTCGGTGCTCAGCTCAGCCCCAAAAGAGGTCAGGGTTGAGTTCTCCGGAGATAGAGGCTCCAGTGCAGAGAGGAACTACCATTAATTAGCATGCCAGAGTTGTAGGTATCTCCTGCTGTTCTAGAGACACTTTGGCTCTGGTGATCCTTCTGGTATCCCACCTCCATTCATTCCCAGCGGGTGCATTTACCCGTTCATTAATGTGTCATAGTTATGGCGCATTAAGTTTAGTACTTGCATAACCAAGTACTAAATCAATGCACACTAACTGGAGCTTTGGTGCAGTAGCACCAGCGCTTGGCTTTTTAGTGGTGCTAACTGTGCAATACCCTAATGCTACTGTGCAGTAGCATATTAGCATGGTTTTGCCCTGCCATGTTACTGCGCAGTAGAATTAGGTTACTGCTCAATTAGCATCTCATGTACACACCCAGTATCCATTGTTTCAGAAGAGGACAAAACATAATGGATCTATTATTGGATCATAGGCATGAAGAGGTGGGAATGGCTAGCACCACGTAAGTGTTGGTAACTAGGAAGGACCTGACTTTTTTGAGGGCCTTCCATGAAGTCGAGCCCTTGGGTCAGGGAGCCTGCAGAATGGGTCATGTTATTTTTAGCTGATAAATTTTATTTCAACATATTTCAGAAAGTGAAGCGTATATAAATATTTCTTCTAACAATAATCACCGCAGTCCTCTCCATGCTACAAGGAACTTGCGGTCTTGTATGGTTGTGTGTTAACTGTTTGATTTTGTTATGTTGTTCTCTTCAAGTTCTGAAGACATCTGTTCTCTGCTCGCTCTTTCTTTCCATTCTTATGAAAACAAATGGAAGGTCAGGAACCCTGAAAAAGAAAACTGCTGAGGACACTGAAGGCAGACAGCCAAGTTAGGCCTGCAGAATTGGTCAGAATCAAGTGGTTGGAGCAGTGGACTGTGAATCCTGGCCAGAGTTATGATACCTGGGTTTGCTTTGTTGCTGTGTGACCATGGGCAAATCGCTTCACCTTTGTGCCTTGGCTTCCCCAACTATAAAATAGTGTTTGGGGATTCTCAAATGGAAGGTGATACCATGATGACCACAAAGCACTAGTATAATACCATGCGGGCCCATAGACAGCATATTGGATTGATGAGCCAGGCCCAGAGATAAGATGGCAGCATGATGTTCTGGCTATGGCATTGGTGGATGTACTTGGACATCTGTGATTTCTCAGTAGTGAATTGGTCAGTCAGAGGAGCTCAGAGTTCACATATGACTTCTTGGACTTAAAGATGACAACTTTGAACAAAGCTATTGCTGAACCATACAGTTCACTTCGCTTTACTACCCTGTCCCCTACACAAAGTACTATCCAGCCAGCTTTGAAGGTTTTGTGCATCTTTAAACAAAAATGCTGATTGGACAAATAGAGAAATTTTCTGGGGCAATTGCAGGGCGTCTAGACACATGACGGAGCTCTGCCCGGATGCGTGCTAATTAGCACGCATCAGAGCAGACGTGATTAATTGAGTCTACTGCAAGTCTGCTGGAGCATGCTAATTACTGCACTCCAGCAGTCCCCACGTCATGTGTATTCAGCGTCTCTGCATTTCAAGATGGTAATGGGGGCACTTTAACTAAAGCTCATTCAATGAGCTTTAGTTAAAGCACCCCCACCACCATTTTGAAGTGTGGGATGCTGAACACATGTGATGCTGTGGGTGCTTTAATTAGAGCAGCTCTCAGAACCTCTCTAATTAAAGTCACCCCCTCCCCTCCCCAACCCTGGAGCACATTTATAGGCGCCCCTAGTGTGGGAATAGGCTGATGAGCTAGAGGTATATTTGAGAACAAGAGGAACCCCCCTGCACATGCTTAGTCCAAAGCTAGTGCAAATCTGCACTGGCCTAATGCACAGAGCCTTGTGAATGCATAATAGCAAGCTCGTTCCTTTGGCATCAGCAGCAGGAAATGACAACTCTTTTTGTTTTGTTTTGGTTGCATCTTTTGCAATCAGCTTCTGGATGAGTTCCCCTTCAAATGGCCAGGGAAATTGTTCTAATGGCTAGAATTCCACATAATTAAACATCATCTGTCCTTGGCCAACAGCAAGCTTGAGGTTTCAAACAGCCCAGTGTGAAATCCTGCCTGATTGGACATTGCAATTGCTAATTTTTTGAGTCATAATTACTCTGCTTTTTACTACAGATGGAGAACCCCAGCTGGCTTCCACCATCATAGACACCATTATGGCTGGCTTGCCAGGGCCACGCGGAGCTCCAGGTCCTGTGGGGCCACCAGGTAATAGAAATGATCAGACTGGTGGTGCATGTGAAGGATTAACTAGAGTAGGTTAAGCTATGTTAGGGTAGGTTAAGCAATGTTAAAGGGAGTTGCACAGCTGTGGGTTAAGGTGGAAAGGAGAAAGGCAGCTTGCATCTCCATTTAGCTTCTCAGAACTAATGTTGGCATTGACAATGAAGAGGCATTTTTGGAAGTCATGTTATCCCAGTGCTTGAGTAAGGAAAGAAACCATCTGACTGCACAGAGTAAGATGGAACAAAGTAGGAAAGCTGAACAGACCCATCAGAAATGGAGCAAGGGGAATTCACGTACGTCTTAAACTGAACCTCAAGGCAAAGTTGTGGTCTTGGCCGCTTTAGAGACTATTGAGGTTGAGTTACACCACTCAGAATCTGGGCCTGTGCTCCAATTACATGGATTCAAACCTGGAGTAGTTTACAGAGGAGTAACTGGGCAGTTCCACACCCTGATGGCAGTGGTGCAGTGGCCAGGAGACCAGCAACAGCAGTTGCTATCTTTGCAAGTCCCTCAGCACCTTGGGCTGATGCCCTGGTTGCCACCCTTCCCCCCCCAGTTATTTACCCCTTCTTGCTGAAGCTAGTGAAGCTACTCCAGGTTTGTACCAGTGTTCCTGAGATTAGAATCTGGGTCTAACTTTTGGTGGCAAAAAAGTGATTTGTTTAATTCCTCTTTTAATGTGATTTTTCTTTTAAATGGCTTAAGTGATAAATATTCTTGCAAGCACCAGGGCTTCACTGCATGATGCCTCTTCATGAGTGATTCCCTGCTAATAACACAAGAGGCTTTTTCTCTTACTTTAAGGGTTTTCATTTATCCCTCAAGTAATTTATTCTTAGATTTAAACATTTGAGTAGTGCATTCAGCTCTGCTTAATGTGTGCATAATACTCGCATTGTTTCATCTCAAGGGTTAGGACAGTGAAAGCAGAGGGAGAAGGGTCAGTAAATTCAGAATAAGCAAATATCCCATCTCCTGAAGAACTGCAGGTATAACTTAATAAAAATCCTCTAGATAGAATTGTTTATCCTTTTTCCAAGAGGAGCAAGGCTATTGAATGAACAGAACAAGTTCATCTGATTTTAAAAAATACATAATTTTTGCTGGTTTCAAACCTATTTTCTACCACGGTGGAGCCCTTGGGGAAAAAAACCCAAACTTTCTGATAAGCCAGTAAATACAGAAAGCCTACATCCCTATACATCATCTCAAGGAGAGGCAAGGGAATTGGTTAATAACTAAAGTCAGTAACTCCATTCTGGCTAAAAAAGACACCTTCCTGCCATCACCTAGAGACTGTCTGAGATTATAGGTAGGGAACCCTAGAAGACCCAGCTAGTCTCTCTTCTCTTTATTGGATTCATTCTCTTTTAGAAATAGTAGGCAAAGTACCCACTCTGGAATAGCTGCTGTATCAATTTTGATCTAAAGTTTCTATTAGGGCCATGGGAAAAATGTCATTTCAGGGAATACAGCACTGTCATTTCAGGGAATGAATGTTGTACTTCATTCTTCCTAGGTTTAAAGATTTGTATAGCGGTAAAGCACTTCCAAAACATAGGGATGTTTGGCCCATTCCTGATGACCAGGTTTCTCCAATAAGATGTATGCAAAGAGAGAGACGGGACGCATCAACACATGCCCCTATAGCGCTGTTGTTATTGTGCTGTCATTTAAAATAAGTACTAAATAATGGCACAGTAACTGCTGTTACTGCACAGTGCTGGCAGTGCATGGTTATTTTTAGCTGTTATGTCGCTGTAGTAATGCACTATACCAAGGGAGTGCATTGCTACAGCGATGTAGCTACAGCGTCACGGTTTGTACCCATTGCTGCTACGTCACCGTAGCACATTGCTACAGTGACATAGCATCTCATGTAGATGCACCCAGTCATGCTAATCAGGAGCAGTGAAAGAAAATGCATCTGATTCCAGCAGGTCTGTAAAATATGTTTCAAATGATGATTCTTACCAGGACCCCCAGGAGCATCAGGACCCAAAGGACCACCAGGACCTATTGGAGTGCCAGGGGCACAAGTAAGCCATTTTATGTTAAAGGTTTTGGGTGTAAGGGTGGAGAGAGGAGCGTAGAAGCCATTTTTCCCTGTAGGAGATTCAATGTTTAGGTATTAGAATAGACTGAGAATCTAAATTTCCCCTCCATAGGAAAAACTGACAATTTAACATTTGCTTTCCATCCAAAAACAAGACTAAAATTTATCCCAAATAGATAGGTAAGGGGTTGGCAATATTTTTGGGTGGAATGCCAAAAACATCCCAACCTCAACTTAAAATGTTGGTGTGCCAGAGGCAGATAGATGGTGGAGGAGCTGAGTGCCCTAATCTTTGTTGTGGCAGTGCAGCTGTGGCCCTTTCCCTGCTATCCACCCAGAGGTGCATGCCCAGCAATGAGCCAGGCAGGTACACCACCAGCAGTGAGCCAGGCCAGAGCTCCACAGTCCCCGGTGCAGTGGCTTGCAGCCTCCCAGGCATCTGCCACAGCTGCCCCATCTCTGGGCAGGTCCCTGACACCCACCATGGAGCCTGGGCTGCTCGCAGCAGGCAGCGGGGAGGCTGCGAGCAGCTACAGCGAGGTCTGCAGAGCCCTGACCCAGCTTGTTGCTGGTGGCAGGGGCATGCACACCTCTGGGTGGATGGCAAGGGAGCTGCAAGGGGCCTGATCCTTATTGTGGGAGCACAGCCCCAGCCTCTTCCCCCCCATCCACCCTGAACCACACGTGCCAAGCAAAATGCCTTTGTGTGCCACACTGCACATGTGTTGGAGTTTGCCTACCCCTGAGCTAGGTGTTTCACAGAACGAGAAATTCTGAACATCTGTGACTTAGAAATGCCAAAGTACTTTGTTTTGGCATTTTAATCAGAGCAAAATATTCTGGTACTCTCTGCCCCAGAACATTTCAGTTTACTTCGCTGAGCTACCACAAACTTATTATTGTTTTACATCAGTTCAATATTAAGTTGTATTGCTCCATGGTGGTGCTGTGTGGCCCCACGGGAATTTGGGTACCAGATGTCCCCATTCTTTCTAGGTTCATTGGCCACACTAAACCTATATAGTCCAGTTGATCATCCTGGCCATGAGAGAGGATGGGACCATTAAGAATGTAGCACACCATGCAGTGATAAGCCTAAGAAACCAAAATATTCTCATATGCATTCTGCTGATGCATGTACGTTTCTTTTTTCGGTTACCCAAATATAAAAATATTGATATAAAAAAAATAATCTTTTTTTTCCAACAAAGTTATTTTGATGGAAAATTCCCAACAATATCTATTATATTTGAGTATTAAAATTTCAGATACTTATGTGTTTGCCTTGATATCTCACATTGTGAAAAATTTGCTCATAAAATGGTTGTATGGAAGATAACTGGACAACAGGCAAAGTCTGTGCAGGGATTGAAAATGGATGAAATCAGAGGTGAGCAAAATATGGCCCATGAAATGATTTTACCTGGCCTTTGGCTGGTCCTCTGAAGGAGAATTATATCCAGCCTACAATTGCCCTGGCTTTCAGTGCCTCTCGCCCGTCTCCTTTCCCCATGCCCACCAACTGCAGCAGCCACTCCCCTCCCCTCCCTGGCCGGCCCACCCTATTCTGCCCCTAGCCCCCAGTGTAAGCTCCAAAGCAGGGGGGTATTGAGCTCCTAGCCAGGTAAGGCTGGTGAGGCTGTCTGCGTGATGCTTCAACCCCACACCTGGCGTCCCAGGTAAGATTCTCCCCACTGGGGAGGGAAGAGGTGCAGGGCGAAGAGGGCCGGGAGTCACGGGTCATCCCAGCTCTGCTGGGCTGGGCGTGGTAGGGCCAGGCTTCTTTCTAAATGGAAACAAGTTAAGGACCTTATTACATGTTGCACTTAGAGCAGCTCAAATGTTGATCAGTATTAGTATTAGCTTGAGTTTGGATCAGTTCAAAGTTCATGCCACCAGGGGCCTTGAGGACTGAAAGGGACGAATCCTTCCCCCACCCCCAGGCTTCCCCTCTACCCCCCCCACTCTTGGGGCTCCCCACTTCCGCCCCCCTGGCTAACTTTCAACTGCTGGCACTGTCCTAGGGGTGCTAGCAAGGAAGGGGAACCCACTGCCCAGCACCCACCACCATGGCCAGGCTGCTGCCCTTCTCCGGGCTAAGCCTAGTCCAGACAGCAGTGGTGGCAACAGCAGTGGAAGGGCTGGGCAAGGGAGTTCCCATTCCCTTCCTATTCCCCCAGGACAGCTGGAGGGGCAGGCAGAAGGCAGCTTGCTGATCAGGGATGGTGGGGGGACAGGAGTGGGGAATGGTGACCCAATTTGTGGGGAGGGTAGGTGGGGTGTTCACAAAAAACATAGCCTAGAGTATTAGTGTACTGGGTCACCATTCCCTTAGTGTAAGGGCCTTGTTACATATTCATTTGAGGCAGCTTCTGGAGCAATTAACTCCTGGATTGTCTGCAGTATCCCCTCCCCCAGCCCCCCTGTTCTGTGTGGACACACTTTCCACCCCCTGAGCTCTACTGTTGGGGGGGTGGGGGGGTGACCTTCCCACCCCTAGGGTAGCAATCCCATGCAAACAGCCTGCAGAGCACATGCCAGCTAGCCAGGTTGCAGGGAGTAGGGGCTAGTGGGGGTCGGAGGAGAACAAGGTAGGGAGCCAGATTAGGTCCCCATGAGCTGAGGCTTCTTTCCCACAGCGGGGGAAGTAGCTCCCCCAGAAATGCCTTCCCTCCCACCTCCAGTCACCCTAGGAAGTATGACTAGCATTCCCCACACCTCAATACTAAATCCCATTATACTAAAACTTGAGGCCTTCCTTAATTTACTTTCTTTATTTCTTTTTAAATTCTTTATTTTTACTTCCTTTTATTTTATCCTCCAGTGGCTGACCTCCTTCATTTTACCACTCTTCCCTCACCCCTATTTCCTTTCTACCTCCCATTTCATTACCCATGCTCATCACATTAACTGTCCCGCACCTGCTCCCCTTCTTGCCCTGCAACCCATCTCTTGCACACCCCTACCTAGAGCAGGGATAGGAGCCTGTCTTGGCTCACCAGCCCTTTAGTGGCAACTCATAGCTGTAGCTCCTAGTCAGGCCCCTGCTCGCTAACCCCCTAGTAGCAAATTACAACTGTACAGATGGGGGACAGTCAGAGAAAGTTTGACTGCTGTAAACTTGAGCTAGCACTAACACCAGTCGACATTTGAGCAGCTCAAGTACACTGTGTAACAAGGCCCTAACATGAGCTGGGTAACATGGATCAGAGATAAACCTAAACTGGAGTAGTGTAACTTTGAATGTAGCTTTAAATGTTTTTTCTACATACCTCAAGGTACCAGGAGGCTCATCAACACTGCGAAGCTGGGGCAGATGGAGCGTCCTACAGGAGCACAGGGAGGGGGCTCCCCAGCGTGCTCGGCAGGAAAACTAGAAGTGGACCAGAAGCACTTCTGGTCCACTTCTGGTCCACTGGGGAGCGCACTGGAGCGCCCTGTTACCCCCCCCCCCCCCCCGTGGTCGACGACTGGTGCCTCCTGGGTCTGGGGGGGGCCCCCTGCAGTTGATCGTACACTCCACTTCTGGTCCGCTTCTGGGTTCGCCGCCAAGCATATGGGGGGGGCGCCGCGCTCCTGTGGGATTCTCCATCCACCCCAGCATTGCAGCACTCATGAGCCACACCTGGTACCTCGAGGTATGTAGAAAAAACATCTAAAGCTGTGTCTATATCTGAATCGCTGATTCTCTGAATCAGCATCGAATCTTCAGATATGGATTTAGCCGAATCGAATTGGGGACAATGATCCAAATCAAAGAATCGAATCACTGTCCCCAGTTCGGGCCAAATCCAAATCAAATAGGGCCCTTTTCGCACATCCCTAACTGTCTAGTAGTGACACACAGCAATAGCCGCATCTCTCAGTTCCTGATCCTGGTATAATTTATAGTGATGATACGTATACAAAGCATGTGTAAGTAGCACTGGGGCATGCATTTGTCTATTCAGAGTCCAAAGATCTTTAGGTTCCCCTGTTTGCAAGAATGTAAGGGTAGATTACTGTATCACACTCATGGTTATAGACAGCTGAGACGCACAGACACACAGATAGTATAAACCGAAAACATTCTTCTCTTCCTATCTTGTTTGTAACAGTGGCTTCACGCAGTGGTTAATTTAAGATTTGGATCAATATCTGTAAAGGAGTTCAGTTAGTACAAGTCTTGAAACAGTGACCCTCTTTCCATTGGTGACTGCTTTATAGATTTATTCAACCTGGGGAGCAAAATTATTAGTGAACATTGGGCTTAATTTGAAAATTGTTTATTTGGGTGAGTGAATCATCAAAACGGTATCCTTTGCACAGTCCAATTAACTCTGAGGCATGTGTGCTTACTCTGACCATCCCACTGAGATGCTTAGGCATAGGCTTTGCCAAGTTTTCATGGGGTGCTGCGTATATTAAACAAACGTAGGATCCCTCGGAGGCCAAGATTTTCAGAAATTAATGGCAGTTTGGGATCCATAAACTAAGACCTCAAGGAAATTCAAATATTAGAGGTTGGGGGTGGTTAGCACTTTCTAAAAATCAGGCTGTATATTAGGAAGTCTCAAACTGAGTGGCCAAAAAAAAAACCCAAAGCGCACAGTCAATCACAGGGTGAAATATCCACTTGGTACATATAGGAAGCCTCAAAATACAAGGGGAAACACAAAAAGTAACATAAATTTGTGGTGCCTATTGACAATCTGGTTCTTCCCTTTTCTTTGGACATTCAGCAAGCTTGGAGTTAGAAAGGGAGGTAGCATCTCAGAAAGTTTTACGTGCAGCAGTGAGGCTTTGAACTGGATGAGCAAAAGATAGGGTTTGCAAGTCTTATAATGAGCAATAAAGGGAACATACTGCATATTTCCTGGGCTGACTAAAGTCTCCATTTATCAATTTCAGGACCTGGTTGAAAACAAGGAGAGTCCAGTGATGCTGGCCCCTTGGTCCACTCACGTTGCTCCCTAAACTGTCATGATGTGCCCATGTACAGTGCCTGCAGAGAACGATCTGCAGGGTCCGTGGAACTCTGCCGGGTATTAAGGAAAAATCTAAATAAAGCGTCTTTGGCAGGTTCTTCCAGTAACAGACCTGTCAGTTGGCTCCCATTGTGCACACCCACCAGGCATATCTACTTTCAATAGTGTCTGCATTTTTCATTTCTAAACAAATTGGACTACAATTTTTCGTTGTTTTTAAGGCCTTATGGAGCATATGTGGGCCTGTATAAGAGAGGGTGTCAAAGAGGAATGTTTAAACTGTTATTGTGGAAATTCCCTATATCTCTCTGCTCAGTGATCTTGTAGATGACCCCACCTTCCCCTTGGAAAGTTATTTTACACTCATGCCAAATATAGTTTAGTTCAAGACTTGCACTGTTCAAGTGTAAGTGACTACACCAGCAGGGGATCTAGCTCAGCACCGTTAACAGTTAAAGGTGGCTATCCAAGACTTTCAGTCATCATTCATCAGTGAAGTTGCCTATAAAATGAATAATGGAAAATAATTCCTCCTTGTTCTGAATCTCTTCTCTGTTTTATAGGGGGTGCCAGGCCCTCCTGGACAGCCTGGGCCTAAAGGTTCCAAAGGAGACAGAGGAGAGAGAGTAAGTTAAAATATTATCATATCATAAACTCTGTGATAACTGTTCTCAACAAGTTCTGGACCAACTCCTCAGGCAGTGCATATCCACTTCAGTGAAGCTACAGTCATCTTGGTTTAGGTGCATAAAAGTTTTGAATACTCTGTAAGAATTGTGACAAGAGGCAGTGGCACAAGGAGTGGGGTATGTTACTGACTCAGTTTAACTCACCCCAGAAAAATTCAGCATAGCAAACACCAGCTGTTAGGAATAGATTTTTACATTCAAGAAAACAAAAATCTCTAATAGCTCTTGGGCACCTGACTTTCCAGTGGAGTTTCCTATGTTGTTAAATGGCAAATAGAAAAAAAAAAACTTGTCCAAGGGCACATCTACACATGTGCTTTACTGCTCAATTGACGAATTAACTCCGCAGTAAAGCATCACAGTCTACATGTGCACCCATATTAGGGTACAGTAAACTAATTAATTCTGCAGTAGGATAGTAGTGTTTGAGACAAGTACTGTCTCACAGTGGAGTAATTATGTGTGCTCAAACACACGTGTAGACTGTGACCAGGGCTGGCTGGGGCACAAGGGTGCTATAGTGCAGGAGCTGCCTGCAACCTAGCTCTGCTCTGTAGCACCCTCATGCCCCAGTCAACCCGTCTGTTGCCCGACGCTGCCACCTGAAGCCTGGGACTGACCCACAGGCCGCCTGCCAGCCTGAGGCTACTCTGCCCTGGCTTGAATTGATGCGGTCCTGGGAAGCAACTGACTCCAGTGCAAGCTGCGCCAGAGTTTATGCAGGCACATCAGTAGCAAACACATGTAGATGTGTCCAGATAGATCCAGATTTGTCCTGCACATAAGTCATTGCTCAGGATCAGATAACGTTCTTAAACTATTTTTATTTAAAATGAACATGTACCTCTTGATATTTTTGCCAAGGACTTGGAAATACAACAGGATGGGCTATTTTAGAATTATTTCCAAGCTGGTAAAAACTAGAAAGTACAGAGAAAAAAATCCAACCCGCTGAGAGAACATATTCTCATCCGGTTCCCCAGCCTATTGTCCTAACAGACCGTGGAGGTTCAGACTAGAATGTGAACTTCTGGATGCTTCTGCTAACCCAAACCTCCAAAAATCCTCAGGATTGCCTTGCACTAATGGTACCAATTGATGATCTATGGAATTCCTTATATGAGGAGACATGGGATGAAACCTTTGGAGAGCTGCACTTGGGCTGTCATGTACAGGTGGCTCTTGCTGAGAAGATGTTGCCAATAAAATGATTTGTAATATGTAACTGGGATAGAATAATGGAAGATTTTACAGTAAGTTCTAGAAAGAAAGAACAGCTTCAAAAAGAGTTTTTGCTCAATCGAAATGGTGTGCAGGGAGAATGGAAGCAGGTAGGCCACAGTCTTCCTCAGTGCTGTGAAAATGAATCCCTTTCTTTAAGAAGACTTTTTATCTGTATTATGGATTTAGGTTGATATGGAGCTCATCACCAGTGAATGAGCAGATGAAACTGACTTTTTTCCTCTGCATTCCCTATTAATGCATCTCTCTCCCATCCTACCGTGTCAGGCTAGGCCCCTCTCTCAGTCTGTTATCTGGTACCATGTAAACCAGTACAGCTTGTTCCGTGGTTAGGTTATTGGCAATTAAACCGGCTCCCTTACCTGGCCTAGCCTGGGTGAGGAGGGTGTGTGGACACCCTGCAGGACCAAAAACAAGATCTGTCAAAGGGCAGATGAGCTGCCTGTGAGCCAGTGGCCATCCATACCTGGAGAGGAGATGGGTGCCACCAGGTCACTCTGCCAGAAGAATAAGCAATGATGCAAAGCAACTCAGTTAATCTAGGAGGGTTGTTACAGTATCTAAGGTGCCCCAATGGTGACAGCGGCCTCAGGACTGACTTGACTCCCATCTTTGCCTTCTGACCACTTTTTCAAGCTAAGAGACAGATTGATTGTCTGGGAGGCCTTTGAAAGATAAATTCCAAATGCAGTTTGATTAACTCTGGATGAACTTGGAGTCTGCACAGGAGTATAGCTAGGGACAGGATTAACCTGAATGTCCCCAGCTTGTACACCAACTCGGTAGCCGCCCAGAAACTTGATCATATAAAGCTCTTTTCCACAGCCCAGGAAGACGCTGTTGTCTGAAATAACTTGATCATGGTAGAGAGACAGAGACAAGGGCTCTGTTTAAAGGATGTTGAAAGAGTCTGAAAGAGCATTCCTCCTCGAATATAGAGAGACCACATGCATCCCTCTGCGAGAGCGAACCCATTTGTAATGGTGATCAGTTTTTATGTAATTAATGCCAGCTGCTCCATGGCCAATCCAGTATTGACTTGTTTACTATAACGGTGCACACTACTATCTCATTCTAATATTATAAAAGGCTAAGCCTGTCTCTGTCTGTCTGTCCGTAATGCTTTACTCGTGCTCCATCCCCACCCCGCCCGCCCTACCCCTGTCATTCTGGACGGGCAATTGGCTAGTATAACAGATAAAAGTATGATAGAGACGTGACAGAAACAGACTAAGTGGTTGCTAATACATTTCATCTCTAGTTACTGGATGAGTCTTATTTCTGTTGGATGTTTGTTTCATGTCAGTGAAGGTCTTTTTAAATTTAAAAATAGAGTTCTCTACTGCGACAAACTATTGAACTTTCCATCCAGGGGATTGATAAAAGCTCTTCTGTAACTGCTCTTGACAGTATTCTTGAAGGCTTAATTCTATGATTAACTGTGCGCTAAGAATATCACCCATTACGGTTAGACTAAACATGTGATGGAAATTACACTTTTGTTGCAATTGAAAAGTTTTGTGGGATCATGACATTTTAGTAAAACTTTCAGTTGGAAAAAGCCTAAATGCATTGTTTTGACTTTCTGGTCTTGTTTCAGTGAAATGAAACAAAAACATTGTTGATATTGTTATGAGATATTACTTTTTTTTTTTTAATATTACATATAGTTTAACATTTCAATGTGAGCAAAAGCCTCCTGGATCAAAAATTTTCAGATTTCCTATTGAATAGATGTTTTACTATTTCAATTTTTCCATCAGAATGAAAACTAATTGAAATGTCAAAACTTCCCACACAACAACGTGTATCTTTCTGACTAGCTCTGCTTCTGCATGAATGGGATAGTAAACATTTATAGAGTATACTGGCAGAAGAAAATACGATGTTTATGGAAGATGGCAGGTACAACACGTTTGATCACCTGCAGTAGGCTCTAAATTTTGAATTTCTGGATGTTAGGCATGCTTTTCGTAGTGAGAAACAGAAAGAACATATGCTTGGTTAAGGATATGTTAAGCCCTTGTCTACTAAAATCGGAGCTGCTTATGACATTAGCCACTAGGGGGAACTGCATGTTTCATATTTGGATTTGATGGATGTAAATTTAAGGTTAGCATCATATAGACAAAGTTCATGGATTATGCAGTTAATGACAGCCACAGCAAAAGAAAAGTGAGAGAGATCCATGTTTTCTATGTAAGTGTAAAGAAAACCTTGATGTACACACTGCCCCTTAGCTAGATGAATTGCTGTTTTCTTATGCTTGTCTACAGGCCTGATTTGCTCAGTGAAGGATCCAAGAAACTCCCATAGAAGTCCATAGTAATTATTTCTTCCATTGGGGATAATTGAGCCATATTCAGATGTTACCTTTTCTTCAGAATCTAGTTTGACAGCAAAGGTCACTACGTTCTGAATATAAATTTAATGCAGTATCTCTTCTTTTTTAAAGAAATGTATTACCTTAGCCCTTTATGTGGAATGAGTAGAGAAGCAATTTGGAATGGTCTTATCATGATCTTAAAGTTCTAGAGAAACCATTTTAATTGGTCTGGTAAAATTACATTTTATTCTTGTCAAAAGGAAAAGTATCTCATAATGACACTTACTTTATTTCCAACAGGGACAAGCAGGTCTGACTGGAGAGAGGGGCATTAAGGGATTTCCTGTAAGTGTTGTATGTGGGTACGTGCAAGAGAGGCAGACAGAAGGTTCGGGGGTGGAAAAAGGGGGAGTATATAGTACATCCAGTCTCTTAAATAGTGAATAGCTATTAGGCAAGACGTTCTGCTGGGGCTCTGATACAACATCCAGGTCAGAAATGTCCCTCTCAGAAAAGCCACACAAACAGAAGCCTCACCTTTTTATTGTATTGTGTAAATGAAAGGCTGCATTTCAGTGCTATACTTCATATCCAAGTACATGATAAGAAATGTCTGATAGAATATAAAAGCTACACTGGAAGGAGGGTCGATGATCTAATAAACCTTCTCAGTCTCTCTATGCTGGTTCTAGGAGAGGGTATAGCAGTCCAGCAAAGAGAGAGGCTGTACCAGCCATGGATTTTTTCCCCCTGAGAAACTAGTAGCAGAAGATAAAAACAAAAGGTAGTGTAAATGAAACACTGCATTTCAGAAGATAGATCTGACATATCGCCTCCCTTTTGCTGTAAAGTCTGTTCTTGTTGTTTGTATTATGGTAGTCTCCAGGAAAGTCACTCAAGGAGCAGCACCCAAAGTACACGACACAAATATAGAGTTTGTAGTTCTACCTTCCTGGTTTCTGCTAACTTACACCCTGGTGCAGGGTACCAAGGGACACAGAGTCCACTGGATAAGAAGGGACGTGGCAAGGTACATAACATTTTCCTGGTTTCCCAGAAGAGGCCACAGTGGGGAGCACTGATTGGAGAGGGGATGAGGAGGCAGCAGAGAAAGTAATAGAGAGGTGATAGGGAGGGAGCAGCACAATATCAGTACAGCTGGGGGAAAATGCCAATTCAGTAGACCCCTATTGCCATCCTCTCCTAACAGGTCTATGTGGACGGAATAGAGTTTCCTTTCAAGCTAGAATTCCTATTTGACCTCAACAATAAGTCTCTTATTAAAAAACGTAAGAACTTCCATTTACTGGGTCAAATACAGGTCCATATTTCTCTGTAGCTTGTGTTACAGTGGCAGGGACTAATCATAGAAATCAAAGAGAAGTAGGTCTAGAAAGGACCTCCAGAGGTCATCAACCCCCCTGCCTAGGTTCATCCCTATCCAAACCCCCCTGCCATCAACCCCCCTGCCCCTAGGTTCATCCCTATCCAAACCATCCTATACAATGCATAATTGTCCACACAGTCCTATATAGTCAGTACCAATCTAACCATGGGTAAAATTCCTTCCTTCCTAGATACCAAAAGGGAGAGTGAGCAGGGTCTGACCAGGGTTTCCCCTCTGTTCCTCCCCCACGTGCAGCTTCTAGCATTAGCTTTTATGTCTCTAGTAAAGTTTCTCCTCAGATTCTTTCTTTGCTTGTCTTAGTATGGTTTTACATTTGCTTTGCCAGAGTTTGTGCTTTTTTATTTTCCTCGTTAGAATTTGACTTCCATCTTTGGAAAGAAGACTTTCCTCTATTTATTGCCTTTGCAACTTTACCACTGAATCATGCTGGTTTTGGGGGGGTGGTTTCAGTCTGCTTCCTTTTTTTTTTTTTTTAATTTGCAGTGTGCATTTGCTCTGTGCCTCCAACATGATGTTCTTAAGCAGTTCCCGCACTGCTTGCAAGTTCTTCACCTCCTTAGGGGCCTTTTTAAACTTCTGTCTAACTAGCTTCCTCATTTTGGTATAGTTTCCTTTTTAAAATTAAAAGTTACTGTGGTAATTTTCTTCTTGTCATCTCTCCTACATGGAGGTCAAACCCAATTGCATTGTGGTCACTATTGCAGAATGGTCCAGTAACAATTACCCTTTGCATCAAATCCTGTGCACTGCTTAGGACTAGGTTAAGAATGGTCTTTCTTCTTGTAGGTTCCAGGACTAATTGCTCCAGAAAGCAGTCTTTTATAATGTCAAGAAGTTTGGAGAAGTAACCTTGATGCAAGAGGATACCATGATATCTGCTGGAGGATAGGTCCTATGTAAAGAATTGTTCCCCTGCTTCCTAGCTTGATGCCCTCATACCCTGAGACTGTCACTCCTCCTAGCTGCCTGTGGGCTGCTACAGGGAGGAGGGATTACTCAATGTAAGCCTGCTTTATGACCCCCTCTGCCTTCCTCTGCTGCTCCAATTCAGCCACCCTGTAAAGGCCAGGAGCTCCTTGCCAGATGCACAGATAATAAATCTGCCCCAAGACACTTGGTGATCCCCACCCTGCTGCTGGACTTCTACCTGCATTCCTTGTATTTCATTGTGTTTGCTCTGGTCTTCTCTATGGACTAGGAAACTTGAAAAAATAGGCTGGCCTTCTACTTACCTACGTCTATCCTGATCAATGCCTAAACATATTTAAAATTTAAAAACTAAGCTCTAAAGCCAAAGAAAAAGATACGATGATGATTAATAACAATAACAACAATAATAACAGTAACTATCATAATATTTTTTTAAATTAAGAGCAACCAAATTAAGGGCAACTCCCCCTGACAGTGTTGCTCTGAACTCCCACACAAACTCCCCTGTTTGCTGGCTTTTATATTGGGTTGTTGGGGTTTCTGGCTGCCTTGGCTGTTCTACTTAGGCAAGTCCCACCTCCTTGCTCACCTTTGATCGGCTGCTGGGCTCTGCAACCAAGAGCTCCTCCCTGCTCAGTGTAAATGTCTACCAAAATAGAGCCTGGCTCACCCAGCCCAGCCAGGCACCCCACCACCAGACACAGACCCTCTGCTCAGGTTTTACCCAAGTCTCCCCCATGCAAACTCCCCTGTTTGCTGGCCTGTTCACTGTGAATACTGGCTTCCTTGGCCAGAGTTTGGGTGTGAATAAGCAACTAAAAAAAAAACCTCTAGAGCTTCTCTGAACACTTCAATCCTCCATGGTTTGCAGTACTGGGCAGGACATCTTTTAAGAATGGGGTTTCTCCCACTGTTTCTGGGATTCCCCGCTTCTAGTCAGGTCAAGGATCTCTTTTGAATATCCTCTCCCAGGGTACATCAGGGCCAAAATGAAAAAGTGCTGGAGTCAGAGGTAGAAGGAAAGTGAATTGGACAAGTTGCGTTCAGGTGCTTGGGACAGAAGTGGCAGGAGAGCTTTCATTTGACCTGTGAATGGTTCTTTATCTTGTTGATTCATCTGTCTACCTCACCATAGCTGACCCTCCCCTCTCGTTTTTCCCATCTGGCTCATTCACAGTCCTATTGAAACTGTCTCTGTGATGCCCAGTATGAGTCAAGGACTATTCCCAGCTACCTTATTCAGCAGTTCCTGGTCCTGTTCCTTGCTCTTTATTTTACTTATGGTTTAATCTCTCTGTGCCATCGTCTGCTTGGGAAACGCAAACACTTCCTGATGAGCCGAGTGAGCAGCAAGGGAACGTCAGAACAAATTGCACAATTAAGTTTTTCTTCACTAAAATGCATCTTGTACGGAGGTTGAGGGTGATGTGGCTAATGAATGGGAGTCCTGAATAGCAGATATGGATTATTATTGGAAGAGAAAGCTTAGACTCAGACGGCATATCTGACAAGCGTGCACATGCAGGGAAGCATTTCCCATGGCCAAATAGCAGTGGCATGTATTTGCGTGGCTGCTATTTGCCCCAAGCATGCCCCTGTATGCATGCTCGAGTATGCAGCAAAGTGACCTGGGTGGGGTAGGGGAGACTGGGACCATCACGTGTGCTGTCCCCAGCAGCCTTACCTGGGGGCCTTCTGGGACAGCAGTGGTGTTGAGCCAGCTGCTTGGAGCCTGGCCAGCAGCCAGAACCTGACTTCGGCTGGCCAGGCTCCCTTTCTGGCAGTGCACACTGCTACCACATGTGCTGTGCTACTGCTTTTTTTTTTTTTTTTTTTTTTTTTGACACCAGGATCTCCAAGTGTCAGAAAAAATCACTGAGCTTCTAATTTGCAGTGCGGCAAATGGGTGCACATGGGCCGTGTGCAGTTTGTGGTACCTCAAACTGCTTTGAGGTGCCGCAAACGGCATATGCACTGCACATGTGTCAGGATGCACCCAGAATGTGTTTGTTTGGGGATGTTTGTATTTCAGTATTTTCCTGTAAAATGTTGCTCACTGAACGAGTCTCAGGAGGTGCATATGGTTTTGGTCAAGGTCCCAGAACACAATAGTCATTCAGCATTTTGTTACAGTGCAAACATTGTTTAGATCAGGTCACTCTGGAATAAGTCTGGCAGGGTTATATACACAGGTCATGTTGGACTTGCTTCAGCTTACACCAGGCTTGTATTTAGCTCTCACTCTAAAACCTTCAGATACTGCAACATTAAATAGTCAGGACTTCATTTTATTCTGCTGATGGTGCATTGTTTGGAGGGAAGGATTTATATTTTGACTTATTCTTCCCTCATTCACAAGGAACTGTGTTTATCTGTCTCCTCTTAGGGCGAACCAGGAAAGAAAGGTGAAGAAGGAGACAAAGGAGCTGATGTAAGAGAACATTTCATTTAATTTTTTATCGCTGAAAATCCCACTCCCTTGGGAGCCAGGTTTTATCCTTGTTCTGTATTCTGGGGGAGAGACTGCTCCAAAATTACAAGGGTAGACAATTAAGCTGGGATACAAATACCTGAGCACTGGGATGTTCAAACTCTAGGCAAATCTTTTCCTGGCTTGATCTAGGTACCTTAACAGCATTTGATACTCGTGGCTGCTTGTTTTAATAAAATACTGCCTTGTGAGAGAGGGAAGCATTACCCCCATTTTAAAGGTGGCAAGCTGAGGCATGGGATGATTAAGTGGCATACCCCTGGTCACGCAGGAAGGCAGCAGATGAGCTGGAAATCCTAAGTCGGAGCCTGAACCCTTTCAGCCTAAAAAGTCTGCGTGCTGAATCTACGCAACCCCTTCTTTGATGCATTATGTACCCTTACCAGTGTTGGCTCTGGATTTAGACCCAGATGCCTTGTCCCAGAGGGGGCTAGAGGGGGAGGGGGGAAGATGACCATGACCCACCCTCCCACCCTCAGACCTATCACAACCTTTCCATTCAATAATAGGCAAAGTTATGGAAACACAGTGATAACAGAAAAGAAACAATACAAGTAGTCAAGCAATTCTATACATCTACCAATTCTAGGGCTGTCATCAGAGTCAAGAAACGTCTGGCCAGGATGCAGGCTTCACTTTAAGGTTCTCTCTTAGGTGTCAAATGTCACCATGTCTGCAGCCTGGAGGTGGGATGCCAAGGCCCACCCTCCCCACCCCCGTGAGGTGGATGAGATAGGCTAGTGGTGTGCCCTCTGTCCATGGTGGCCTTGGGGACCCCTCTCAGGGGATGAGGATGGGCATGGGAATGGGGCCTCCCTCTCAGGGACCCTTATGAGGAGGAGGATGGGGAGGAGGAGGGATGCTTTGCTGCTCCAGAGTCCTTCTTTTGTATTCTCCTTCCCTCCTGATGACTCTCCATCCATGGCTGTCACTGACTGGTCTCTCTGTTCACCACACTGTCCACGTTCTGTTCCATCAGCATATTCCAAGCCTATCACATGCACACATACTAATTTGGTCTTTCTGGGCCTTCTCCTAATTTGGTCTATTCCCCCCAAAATCGGAAAACTCTGGCCCCCAATCTGGGGATTTGTGAGCTGTTGCCACCTTATCTCATGTTATGGAACAGTGTGGTACATGCCCCCACTTTCCCAGGCTGCGGGTGTATCCATTGGCCTTGTTGTGTTAGACTGCCTGTCTGCTTCTGAAGGCTCTGAAAACTCTGTATAAGACCTACGCACGCATGCATGCACACACGCACACGCCAATTCCCAAAAAGCAAACCTTTAAATACCATTTTTAAGCCATGAGCCAGGGCCCAATTTTGTTTGTAATCTTAAAAGGTATGCTCCTACTTTCCTCCTCATCACTTGCGTTTACCACTGAGTATTCAAGAGTAAGACATTTTGGACTCCACCAAGAAAGTGCCAAAAATTCTCTCCCCACAGGAGGGAGCTGCTATAGATAATTTGATAAAACATGGCAGAAAAGGGTTCTGGCAGATTCTTTTGGTTTCATGGTTCAGTGTCAGTGAAGGGAAATCCAGGCAAATCCCCAAGCGGTGCTCAGATCAAATGACAGATCTGTTTCATGAATAAAAATATTTGCTATTTAAATAGCGCAAAAGACTATGGAAAATGGGCACAAAGTGCATTGCACTAGTCCAAAACTTACAATTTGATAGGATTCAATTTGCATTGGCACACTAAGGAAGTAGAAGCCAAGTTAAAATTTTGGATATGAATCAAAACTTCTCCAGCACTGCTGGGATGCTAGGATGTGGGTTTATAATCAAATATCTTTGCCTCATGTTTCTTTTCAGGTTTTTATAGAGATGTATCTCTTGTCATCACAAACTTGCAACCTTTTTATGTTTTAATAAAAAGAAAATTGCAGGGTCTATGTTAGCAGTATGAAATCTAGAAGCCTGGAGGGCTACATTATGAACATCAATATATAACAAGCTGATTCCATAAGCACATGCTAACATTTTGTACGTTATCTTGCAGGGAGAAGGAGTTCAACAACTTCGAGAAGCCCTGAAGATTTTAGCTGAAAGGGTGTTAATTCTAGAGCACATGATAGGAATTCATGGTAAGTGGTGTGAATTATTGGAGTTAAATTTTGCTTTCTCTGAAGAGGCAAGATGTTCTGAGCTCTGAGATAGGTGACAAGTATGTGCCTGCATGCTCCAGACCTACCTTTTTAATCTGATCTCTCAGTGAGCTACAGGCTTCTAGGGCTGACTGCCACCGGTCAGCAGATGTTTAGGCCAGGACTTTCAATATTGCACTTCTGACCTTAGACTTCTATATTTATAATTAGGTGACTAAAGTGGCCAGTTTTCACAGGTGCTGAACATCTGCAACTCCCATTTGCTGCGAGAGAGTTATTTTAGCTTATACCAATGCTTAAAATGTCCCAAAGACATTTGTAGTGCAGACAGTTCGGTGTGGTTGACTTGTCAGTGACAGATCAAGCTGTGCTGCATTTTACTTCATGTAACATCTACAAATTTAGCAAACTTGTCAGAGTCTTGTGGGCCATATCCTCAGGTGCTGTAAATAACCAGCAACAGTCCACTGACTTTGATGGATCTATTATAGATTGCACAGCTGAGGACTTGGCCTTTTATAGCATTTGTGGCCAAATATTAGTGCATAAGGAGAGCAATCTGTACAGGTCCCATGATTACAGTGTAAAAAATAGTGAATTTGGGACCTTTAAGGAGATTCTTAACATTTCAACTGTTTCTCTTTAAACAGAGTGCTTAGTTTTTCAATTGGAACCAGTTCCCTCACCATCACTGATACAGTCCTTTCACCCCTTCACCAGAGAGGGGGTTTCTGGTGGGTTCAGATCAGGCTTCTCCTTTTCTTTTTTGGAGCCTGGGAAGTTATTGAGCCAGTGTATTAACAGATGCAGGAACTTGCTATGTCTCTTTCTACCTTTCAGAAACTGCAATAGGACAAAATGTTTTAGACCTGTTCATAATTCTACTTTGTTCACCACATGCCTGTGAGAAACCAGTTCGGACTTTGGCAGCTACCCAAATGCTTCTCAACCAGCACTGCCCCTTATGCAGTGAATTGCTTTCAACCTGTTTCCTGGACTCACCCTCACTGCGGCGTTAGGCAGTCAGCAGCAGTTCTCCATTCCTCCATACTCTTGCCTAGCCATACATGTTGAAAGTCGTGGGGTGATGGTCACAGGACTCTATACAAGTGGATTCATCAGGCACCTGACTAGACCTCTTAGGCATACACCATGATGCAGAGGATCAATGGTCGTCTACTACACCATGCAACCACACCCCAGTTCTCCCCCACATCTCTCCACAAGATCCATTCCTCCCTAGGATGGTTTTGGGAAGCAGGCTAACCAAATATCAGTAGGATTCATTGCCCAGTGTCTAATGCCAATGTAAACACATGGGTTAAAATTTTACAAGCATCTAAGACCCATTTCAAGAGTGACAGGGCTGAGCAGCATAAGTTGCTTATGCACATTTGAAATTTTAACCCATTAATTACTGTGGTCCTTGTCCTGTATTCCCTATTAGTTTTGATTGTTATATACTCTTAGATCAGAAGAATCTCAAGGCAGGAGCTCGTTTTGGCTATGGACAGACATTACACATAAACCGGTTTAAGTGATCAGAAACTGGTTTAAACCTGTAGCACAACAGATGTTCAGTGCACATAAACCAGTTTGAAAATGGCTGAAACTGGTTTGAGATAAACGTGGTTGAATGCAGTATTAGACTTAGCTGATTTGTGTCAAACCAGTTTATGCAATGTCTGTCCCTGACCCCTTGCTGGTTTAAGTTAAATCAGACTCTCCCACATCCCAGCATGCTCTCTGGGCTGGGCGGGGCTCTCTGCTCCACAACAAGGCCGCCCCTCCCCTCAGCTCGGGACTGGCCATTCCCCCCCTCAGCTCAGCACTATGGAAGGGAAGGGAGGGCTGCTCTAGTGCCCCCTGGCTTCTAGCCTGAGCCACCACAGGCATGTCCCTGCATGTTTGGGGTGTCTGTATGGTTACAAACTGGTTTACCCTAGCCAGGTTAGACTAACCTGCAAAGATTGAATCATTTCAGTCTCAGGCTTTTTGAATGTCTGTCTCTAGCCCTGGTCTACCCTGCTGAGCCCAACTGGGAAAGAAAAAAGGTGGTGTGTGACAGTCCTTGGAGACAGGGGATTTGCAAATTATTTGTATGAAGGTTGGAGCATGAACACTTGACAACCTCATACAGATGGCAAAGCTCATGAGCTGCATACATCTGCTCCAGGGAAACACAGTATGTTCTGTAAAGACACTTGGAAATCTGAAGGTCCAAGTACATTATAGAGAATCTTACTCTACAGTACTTTTTATCTTTTGGGGCCATTTATACTATGGTAAAGTACTACTAAGTGACCATGGCAGCCTTTTAATACCATTTAAATTATGGGAAAAAAGTGGGTACACCTTGTTTAGTGAGTTGATTCCATTATTTTGGCTTATGACTAGTTGAGTTAGGTTACAATATCTTTTTTTAAATAAATACAGTTCTCTTTGCACAATCCATAGTGTAACCATAGTTATATCGGTATAACTGTGTTTTCTGTTACTATTCCCTATTAATATTATTGTTCCTGTATCGAAAGGGAAATAGTTATATTGGTATAAGCACATTTATACCAGTGTGGTTGCATACACAGACAAGCAGAAGGGCAATAGTTAACTGCTGGTTAAAGCAACAAACACATTTGTGTTTAAACATCACCTTAATATATACTCCCTTTTTTTCTTACCCTGCTACTAGTGTTTTTTTGCTCTTGTGCTATAAAGAAAGAATAGAAATATTGGTATCTTATAACCCTAAAATAGTATTGAACTGCCTAAACTGCAACTCAACCTTTACAAACATACACCTGAAAGAGTG